ACAATGGAGCAGGAACTTCTGAATCAAACTTTGCTGACCTAGTCGTGACCAGTAGATGGGTGGGGAGAGATTAATAATACGGCACTGCATCCTCACAGGAAACAAAAACTACATTATCAAGAGACTTGTTTAAAATTAACTGAGATCATGACATAATAACAGTTTAAAAATGCATCTACAACAAAGGGGACTTTGCATATTGTTTCACAGATTTGTGATTTTCCAACCAAAATATAACCCAAAATATATCTTAGTTCTTTGCAGGGTCTCTAAAGCAGAAGTTTTAACATGTTTTTTTTTTTTGTTTTTGATATTTCAACTTCTCTAAGATTAAATTAACAAAATTAAAAATAAACCACTTTCATGGTAAGCGCATGAGACAGCCTATCTTTAAAACTGTATTACTTCTTCCCTGGCTGACAGCACAATGGGTGGAGTCAAGATAAAAGCTTCCATATTGTGTTGACTTTATTCAAAGCAGCAAAAAAGAATTATGAAAAGCTGCTTCCCAAGGTGCACTCTGACAAGATAATTCAGTCTTTCACACTTTTCTGATCAGGCCTCAGAGGCTTACGTTACATCTAGTGTATGCCAGAAAACACATTGCCAAAGAAATAACAGGAGCCCAATGTGACGTTAGCGAATTTTATTTTTCCCTTATCTAACATTCAAGATTCTGTTGTTGTTTTGATATCGAGAGTGTTGGACAGGACACACTCTTGGCTCTGCTCCTACTCATGCCCATCAACTATTTGAAGGGCTGCTATATTAGTATCACTTTTCTTATGCAACACATTATGCAACTAACAGAAATTGGACAACAACAGTGCTTTGGTTTCTATACAAAAGAACACGTATGTTCATTACTACACACAGATGCCCTGCATTAGCATCAACGGTGGAGCATGCAGGAAGTGACTGTAAATGTAACCACGGATTAATTAAAAATTAAACCTGTCAGTAATTCATTTTGTGTCACAGGATGTATGTCTGTGTGTGTTCCTCAGTAGGGACTCTGCCCTCAGCACTATTAAATACCTCAGCAAACACCAAGAAGGTGGCAGTAATGAAGCTCAAACACTACAGAGCTGCAGTTATAGCCAGAAGGAGAAGCCACTTTAGGGATAAGGGTTAGAAAGATTAGCTTAAGCGAACGTTGGAGGAGATTGACTGTTGTGAGTTTTGGTTTTTCAAAATAAAATGTATTGAGAACAAAACTTTGACAAGATTGACAAAATGTATGATTTAAGTTTCAAAACGGACATAGGTCTAAGATGTAATCAGCTAGGCAGCCATATTGAAACTGACAGACCACTTAATGCAAAGCTTTCTGTGTTTTAGTTGTTCATTTAAAAAAACAAGGGTATTACCTGTTCTGTTCTAAACATGTTTTATAACTGCCAGGTATTCTCATCATCTCAATTTGTCTGTAGTCTGTCTTGTATATTTAATGAATGGTAAGGCATTAGCAATAACAATTTAGATTCATTATTCACCTGGCAGATTTACGACTGTTGTCAGGAACTGAAAGACCACTGTCCATTAAGACTTTATGATCTCTAAAAAGAAAAGATGGAAAAGCAGTTGGCTCACAGAAAGAGTGCTTGCATTTCTTAACAACTTCTCTGATTAATCTTTTTACACTGTCCACTAAATGATTTAGATTAACTAGAGACTCTAGAGACTATGTAAGAATATGAAAGTAACAGTGACACCGACAGTGAAGGCCTGTTCAGGGTGTACTGAGTCTGTATGAATGAGAAGCAAACTGTTCAGTGCTGTGGACGAAGCTCTATGTAAATGCAGACCAGTCTAGTCCATTAGTCCTGCTTATTGATTTCTCAGATAAACAGTAAGTATCTCTGATGTCTTTGTTGAGTTGATTATAGTTTTTTACTCATTAAAATACTCAATAAAAGATGCTTTATTTTGAAGGTAAATCATCATAGTGACACATAAAAAAGAATATTAAGAGCTATTTTAACCCCTGTGTCTACATTGTTCTTTTATCTAATTCCATTGATATGTATTTTTATCTACTGCTCCATATCTCAAACCTCAGTCTTTTGACACATCAGTAAACTATTCATCAGGAGTGAGATCAAATATCTAGAACCCACTGTTGACAGAACATGAAGAGATCACCAAATTTAGCAGCGTTACATATCAGTTTGATGAAAACCTAAGACAGCCCACTGCTCAAATCCAATTTTCTGCCAGTTTTCACCTGGTTACCTGAGTCCTGACTCAGTGGACGGCTGAGATGAATAAATGAAAGAAAACAGCTCTTTGATGAACTTCTTTGCTCGAGAGTTCATGAACATCTTTAATGTATCTTACATATTAAAAACAGTAGCTGCAATGATTCTGTCATACTGAAACAATGCATTGCAAATGCAGTATCATATTTACAAATTTACAAATTAATATGGAACACAGTAATGTGTTGTTTCTTATGATGTTACCGAGCAGGTAAATGTGTTAAATTAACCACATCTAATGTTAGTTCACAATGCAACGTCCTCCACTTTAAAAAAAAAGTCAGGAAAGGAAGAAAATCAGTTGCCACACAAAGCACGTTTAGTGACAGAGAGAGATGAGCGTACTGATCCTGGTGCATAATGGTGGAATCAGTGAGGCTGATAGTGAAGCCACGAGGAGATGGCAGTCAGATTCTCTGCTTGAAGGCTTAAGTAATAAGGCAGAAGGATCAACAAGAGCAGAAAGGACAGAAACATGGGACAAGAACTGCAGTGTGAGAAGGTGGGCACAGGGAAAGACGGTTGCCAACCCTTGCCAATGCAGCTGTGTAAGTGTCAAGAATGCACTGATTACAAAACACAAGACAAGATTCCAATATCATTTAAAAGTTTTAAGATATCACTACCTAAAGTAGGCTGTCACAGAATTTAAAAGTTATCACTACCTAAAGTAGGCTGTCACAGAACAGTGGATCACTAGTGGTTAAAAAAGATTGAAAATTTTAATGACAATGTTTTGACAATGTTAAAACGTTCAAGGTCATAAGAAATGTCCCCATACAATTTTTCTAGCTTATCTGACCAATATAAATATTGTCACAGAAGCAACCCATAAATAATAAAAAGATGTTATCTTTCCTGTTGATCTAGGAATAGCCTGTTTTATTAAGTCCATGCGGGGATAACATACATAAACAGCTAATACAAGCAGATGCTCCAAGCAGTGGAGTTCAGAACCTTGCTGAAGGGCACAATGACGGCAGGAAATAAAGTGTTGGCTTATTTATTGCTGTGTTTTGGTTTTGTTTTTTTCTTTTCATATTCTTGCAGCTCATCCAGCAATTTAAAGTGATGACCTTCAAACATCTCCCTGTTGTGATTCAGCAGCACCTTCACATTGTTTATATTCTCGACCTGGTTGTGGAGTGGACTTTAGTGAAGTTTATATGAAAAGAAAATATTAACAAAAAGTAGAAATTGAAAATGCTTTGTGTAAACAATATTAAATAGTTGATAATCTGTTCCCAAGTTCTCTTGTTGTTCTGTGTGTATCTCATGAATTTGGGGATTTGTGGGTAAGTACAAGTTAATTAACAAAACCCAAAGATTTCCAATCGGTTCATTGTGATAAACAACCAATAACATAACATATGTCTTGTTTTAAGCAACTGAAACTGACTGTGAATTTACACTGCAGTTTAAGAAGTTAGGACACAATTGTCTTGGACATATTTCTTGCTTGTGCCATAATCCTCAGGCCTCAAGTTTTCCCAAGCAAACAAACCGAAAGATGGACTGCAGAAGCCACACTAGCAGGAGTGTTGACAGTTAACTGTGAGTAATGTGACAACCAAACTACCTCATTATAAGTCGCCCTACCATTGCTCATTCACTGACAGATTAGACTTAGAAAATAACAAGGCAAAACCACTGTTGAAATAGAGAAAGGACCCAGAGAGTGCAGATCTCTGCCAAGGGCTCTCAGTTTCCCACCAAGTCATTACTCCAAATCTGAATCCAGATCATCGTCAAAGTCTGATATTTGTTTCCACCAGCCATAACCCACTGTAGATTCCCAGAATTAGCATTGATATTAATTCCTAACTTTTTTGAGTCAAACGCCAGAGTGACTCTGAACTCTAGCAAAATATAACCTTCTGGCCAGAAACAACAGTGTCCTAATGGTAGCACAGAGGTTTAGTCTTAAGAATTTGGACAGTTTTAACAGTCACTTTCAATGTTTGAGCAATATCAGACAATAGGAATTTTTAATTGGTGGAGATGTGAGCATTAGGTCCATGACAGGACAGGTGACATTTTAAGAAACTATGTAGACACACCTTGGGTCACAGAATTGATTGGAGGTTGATTAGTTTTGCATTGGAACAAGTCATCAAAGGTCTCACAAAAAATAAATAATAAATGTCAGCATTAATGTATCAATTTCTTAACACATGAATGTATTATTATCTCAATGATCTTCTGAACAGAGTACATCTCCATGTGTTCACTTTTCATATCACATTATATTGCCAACTAAGAAGGATGTAACTGTAGTTAACTAATCTATGTTGGAGTTATTGAAATAGGATGGAATCTATTTGCATTGTTGTGAAGAAGAGAGGAGCTCTGAGACTGTGAGACGGCAGCTAAAAAAAATACATCAAAAAAACGAGAAAGCACCAGCATTCCTCTGTAATGTTTAGCATTGTGCAACCTCTGGGAGAGTTGTTTAATTCTGGTCTGGGAAAGAGCCAGGGTAAGTCTCTGGGGAGACCAATCCCACTGGCCTCCAGATAAACACCAGCAGAGTGGCAGAACAGATGCGTGGGAGTGCATACTACACACACACAGACACACACAAAAACAACACAAGATCTATGGCCTTGTTCATTCCTGACATTAACATGCTGCTTGGGTGATCTACCCACAAGAACAAAGCACCAAGTTCAAGTCTTCAAGTAACAACTCTGCAACTCTGTAGGGCTTTCCAGTGACAAATACTAATAATTACACTTCTGTAAGTGGAATGTCCTTACTTTCTTCCCATTACTTTTTGTGTCTGAAAAACAAAGGTTCAAAAGCCTTATTGGAGAGGTTTCTGTTTTTATTTTAAATTACCAACTTTTTTTTAAAAAAAAAACAATATTTCCTCTGCAGATAAAATACCAATGTGTCTAAATTTTCACCAGTGTAGCAGGTAAACATGACGATGACAAATTGTCTGAGTTGTCTGTGTCTGTTTTTAGCTTCGCCGACCTAATTTTGAAGAGGGGAAAAAAATGACAGCTGTCCAAAACATACAAAAGTGGATAGTTTTTCATGGTTCAGTTTGGATCCTTTACACTAGTTTAGAAATTCCAGTGGCGGCAAAGCTATAGAAGGGACAGAAAATGTTTAATGTAAAACCTCAAAGAAAACAGTCATGTGGAGGGCAACAAAAAAGATCTGTAGTCTGCACAGTGTGAAAGCCACCAATGTTTTTTTTACCCTGCTCAGTTTGAGCCACATTTTTATTTAGCCCTGTAAAAATACTCTAGTCCAAGTCGTATATAGTAGAAAACATGTTCATCTGGTGTTTGAACACCAATGCATGAGATTAAACCACAGCAGACAACTGCAGTACAACAGCTGAACTGTATTCATGTGCAACTTGATGTGCTAAAAATGGAAACATGTCATCCTCAGATTTTCTGTTCTCTCTTTTACTCACACTCTGAGTAAAAGAGAGAACACCCCCACCGCTCAATCTCTCAGCCTCACAGCATCACAAACACACACATTTCACACAAGCACACGTACACTTATTTCCTCTCGCTCTACTTTGATTCACTCGTTGTCTCCACACTGGTGTGAAGAGCTCATGAAGGATTTCTCTCTGCTGACGATCACTGTCTCTGCCTACACTGTCTCTCTCTCTCCCTATGGAACAGAGGCTTATTTGGCCTCCCAATACACTGAAGATAGCATCGTACAGACGGCTGCAGTGGCAGTGAGGCTGTGATGAACAGAAGCCAGTTGGGATCACAGAAACTCCTAATGGCTTCAGGACCAAGATCAATGCAGTAGTGTAGACCTCTTTTAATATTAATTTTAAGCATTTCTGAGCAACAGTGATTGAAATAGTGCATGTCAACATTCAAATGTCTCTATTTCATTAAATAGTCCTTCTTGTTGGAAGAATAAAAAAAATTAATTGGCAGGAAACTGGGAAGCAGGAAGCAACTAAAAACAGCCCCAAGACAAAACTTAAGCTGCCGTAAAAAATGTCCTACTTTTCACTGCCACCTTCTTTCACAGTGTAAAACTCAGAGCCAGATTGGAGGGTTTTAAATGTGTCTTTATCTAACTGTACTCATTGGGGATGGCTTTTGCCAAACGTGAAATTGTAAAGGCAATGCAAACAAGAGATCAGTGCCACAAACCAGTGATTCCAGGGGGCAACAAAAGCACTTTGAGGTCATGTAATAGCCTAGTGAAAATACGCAGCCTGTGCATGGCACTGTAAGTGAAGTAGGACCCTGCCTGTAATGAAACACTTTCTTTTTTATCTAGCTACTTCCCAAGAGCAAAAAAAACATGAGCGGGTGCATGTGTGTGATCCAGAGCCAGAAATCTTGCTAAAGAAAAATGTCAAAGAAAAAAACATGTTGTGGGAGTGAAGCCAAGAGTGTGACATTATAAACACAACAAACTAAAGTGGTGTTTTCTGTAAAGTTCTGACGACCTAGCTGAGGAAGAATCACTAATCTTTTAACATTATTTTGGCCCAAAACTCTTTGAGTGTTACCACATCCAACATTAAGTTATACAAGTCATTTCAATTATTTGAATGGGATGCAAAACTGAGCAAACTGAGCATATACTCACAGCACTTTATCAAGCAGTGGAAGCCATGGACCTCAAGCTGGTGAAACTGAGAGAACCTTCTGTTGAAACCTACAGAAAAACAGCAGTAGGCAGAGAATTAAGAGGAAGAGTAATAACAAAAACTGAGAAAGAAAAAACAGCAGCATTTTGATCACACTCCAGAGAGGATTCTCCAACAATGACACTTAGTCATTGTTGGCGCATGATGTCACAGAACTGCTATCATATTTAATGGTAGAAATGCAAATGTAAGTAGAGGCTGACCTAACTTTAAGGTTTGACTAAAAAAGCTCTCTTTGTGCATCATTACACAAATGCCACTGTATCATGTTATTACATTAAGGTCGATTAGTGTGAGGTTCAACTTTCACAGTCCTGAGGCATTGACTGTCGGTGAGCATATTTCAGGGTTATTGGGTTTTAATGCATTAAATATGTACACAATGCCCAGCTGAAGAACATGGAATTCTCCGTCTCTTCCTGGCATCCGACAGGCTGGAAATAGACTGGAGGCTAATACTTCTCCTAATCCTGTTGGTGGATTAATGTCAACTGTGGAGTGAGCAGCATATTTTCTATCAGCGTTCCAAAATTACTCATCTGGTTTGCAAATTCAGTTTACCGTTTAGCCGCACAATCATTTTACAATGTTGCATGTGGAGAAAAAAAAATGTTTGAAACAGTCAATCCCACTTCATGTATTTTGTTTTCATTCACTTCTGTCGTCACCCAAGACAAAGCAGCACATTGTGGTAAAGTATTAGTTTATTTATTACTGAAATCATAGTAGCAGTGATATGTCCCCATGAGCCTAGTGAAAGATATCAGAATAAAGCATTAAATAAAACAAACATCAACAGGTTTTATCTTTAGACTTTACCTTTGTAAGTATTATTCTTCAAGGCTGCATTTTTGTTATTTTGTTATTTTGCCCCCACACATCATATCCAGTATCTCACTGTTTAAATTCATGCTCAATTCTTTGACAGTGAGACACAATCACGCTGGAATAATTCACTGTGGTGATCTACTAACATCTTATGCAACCTTCATTGCTATGCAGTACATTATCATGCAGCGCCCACAGCTTTGATGACACCTAATGAAAACCTCTGGCAAATCTCAGCCCCAAGCCATGAGTGGCTCAGCTCAGAGAGATTACTCACAATCTGGGTCTGATTATCTTTTCTTCTCTCTCCGAGCTTTTCTTTGTACAGACTTCAGTATGCCACTGTTGCTATGAGTGGAGAACTGATGATTAAACAAGTTATATAATATTATAGTAATATACCCCAAACATAAAATGAAAAATGAAAGGGTACATTTATTAATTAGTTATATGATATGATAATAATAACAATATACTTATATTACTTATAATAATAAATTACTAATAATAATAAAATCACCGTTCTAAACAAAGTAGAACAGTACACAAATATTGTTCTTTCAATGGTAAAAGTGCACCATCTACCAGACACTACTGAGAAATAACGTAGAAAATGTTCTTATTGACTCCCTTTCACATGGAGCAGTTTGTTTCCTCTATTTCTGTTCCTCAAATATGTTTGTATCCTAATGGGTTAACGCTGTTAGGAGTCAGGGTCTCCCTGACGTTTACTTTACCACCATCGTGTGATCTGTTATTTTTCTACAACTCCTGCTCTAGAATGTTGTTTATGCACATCGTTGGACACATGACTCAATCTTCTGCCTTGTGTCTTTGCAGGTGCTGTGGCACGCATACAACTCAGCTGACTGCAATTCCTGCCACAGACCTAGTAAACAACAGCTGGGTGCAGAAGTTCACCTGCTTCTACAGTTTTTTACAAAATCTTGTGTGTGAGTATCTGCTTTGACGTTATAATAACAGTGTGGAATCTTGTCTAGCACATCTAAGACGTACCATTCTTTTAATTATGTGTCTTGGTGTTTTTAAAAGCATGACGACACACTTCAAGGGTAATATTATTTGTTGCTGATTTTTCCTTTACTTTTCTATGGGGTCAATGGCATTTTACTAGTATCAACAGTGGGGTACATATAGTACAAGCTCGGGTTAAAAAACTAATCCAAAGTAACAAAAGAACCAAAAGGCTGTGACTTTAAACCTACTCTGTGCGTAAAGGATCACAGCGTTCGCCTGTCTTAAAATGTAAGACCTGTATTTTCCTTAAGTATGGTGTACGAAATTCAGTATACGTCTGTGGTAGAGTGTGAAGACACACAGGAAGCTCTGATACAACAGCAGAGGGTTAGTGGGAGACCACAAGCAAATCATCACTCAGTGGCAGGGTCATTGTTACACACAGACCAAGATGATATTTTACATAGCAGACCAAAAACATAGTACATTACTATATTAGCAATGATTCCTAATTAGATATGCATTTCAAACATTCACCTCAGGAATCAGAAACACAAATCATTGACTGTCTTCTTGGGTTTTTGTCTTTTCATTTCACACATTTGTTTATTTCTTAACTAAAAGAAAACCAGTGCTTCGCTATCTAAAGTTTACTGGTCGGCCTAAGGTGAATTCTTTATTTTGTGTTTTACTTAACAAAATGTAACTGGAAGAATAAAATCTCTGCATTCTCTGCAATAAACCCACCATTAAAGGGCAGCAGAGGACGACACTGATGCATTCAGCGGGACAGTTGTTCAGTGTTCACTCAATGCGCAGCAGCACAGGCCCAGGTTCAAACTGGCAATTCTCCAATCACAAGACTGATCCGTTAACAACCAGGGTATTGGCACCTGGTTACTAAACTGACACCTTCTAAACGGCGTATTTGCTGCTGTACACTATCTATTACATTTTATAATACCAGTCAAATTTCTGGTGGGGATGAGAAAGCGCAAGTTCCATAAAAATCTAGGTAGCAGTAGCAGTAGCAGCAAAACTGGAACAGAAAATGGAACAGAGAATGGATTGAGATTTCCCTTAAATGTACTGTAAATTATCCCTAAAGATTTCAAACATGAAGAGCAAGGCATTAAACTATTACTTATTAATACTACATTGGACTTTTCACAAATCCCATTTACCTTAAGGTCACTGCTGTCATGCATGTAAACAAACTGCTACAGACGTCTTCTAACAATAAGGGCAAATAAACTTTTTAAAGGACATCAAAGATGATTTTATTATGCTTAAGATTTATTTTGCAGCTGTATGGGGGAGTATGATTAGAAAAGTTAGAGAGCATAAAGCAGTGTTTGTAAGCATAGGAACCTTGTGCTCTGTTTTCCTAAACTGAAAAAACTGCTGCGACACAATTAATAAACCAAAACAAACGCCAAGACTGTTTGATAAAACAGACAACAGGAAACCAAAGTTAAGCACCATATGTCTCAAAACACATACAGATTTATAAAACAGACAGAGGAGCACAAGCATTTTTGGACAATGACACAGGATCACTGTTGTCTAAAACACCAATCTACGACTGCTGCAGTTACTCCAGTGTATACAGAGCTCTCATTAACATGTTAGTCAGTCTGTCTGAAGCCACACATCCTGGTAAATTGGAGGTTGTCCCATCCAGAGCCAAAAGTCCCATTTTTCAACATTACAGAAGTAATAACATAAAGTGGTATTGAGTAAAAAATGATTCAATTTTCTTTTACTTAACTTTGTCTGTTGCGACTTACAATTCTTCTTCTCCAAGTAAACCGTGCCCTTTTTTTTGTGTATTTTGAGTTTGCCAAGATGTTAACAATCCTAAGACTGAGGAGGAAGCAACAGTTGCAACCTAAAAGAGCAGACAAAAGAACAAGATGACCAACTCAGAAAAACGACTACTTACAATACACTGGAGTGTATCCGATCCACGGCCTTGCAGACGTATGAGGCAGAGAGAGAGGGAGGGAGGAAGATGTTAAGCACCATCCAAGGAGGGAGGGAATACGCATGGCAGTGGGTAATGGTAATGATGGGGAAGTCAAAAACATAACAGAGACGGAGCGACCGAGAGAGATGAGTAACAGCAAGACCGTGTAGAGAAGAAAGACATTCTAATGAAGGGAGTGTAAAAATACAGCAACAAACCGAGGAAGTGTAATGACAAACAATACACATTGTGTGTAGGTCTCTCTGTGAACACTAGTTCGTAGTACATTACACCATTCTTGGCCTCAGGACCAGTGAAGAAGTCCTCACATTATTCTCAGTCAACAAGAAGAATAAATGAGAGAATTAGGCAGAGATGAATCCTTATGAAAGGGCTGAATTCCCAATGAGACCTATCAGTTTCCTAATGCCTCTCAACCTCCTTTCTGACAGGCAGAGTCTCAGCAGAGCAGCTGTCAGAAACGTGAGCACAGGCAGCCCCAGGAATATAACATATTTGTTCAAAATCTAGTTTTACAGGTTTCAAACAAAATCCTTTACTAGACTGTAGCCCCCATACTGGTCCAAACATCTGAGTTTCCACAGCCAACGTGCCCAATTTCCAGTGTTACCATCATTGTTACTCACTCTTGCTGGACCCACAGGACATGAGTTCAAATTAGGTGGGTGGTATTAGTGACTTTTTTACAATCAAAACAAATCTGAGGCATTCTGGCCACAGTCTGCTCAGTTTTTATGACCCATTTCAACAGATGAAAACTGAGGCACTGGACGATTCCAAGCTTCTTTTTTCACCCAGTGTTTAGTCTCTCTCTTACACTCTGGTACTAAATTATTTTTACTACCCCATTTTCTATTGACTGAAAAGGCTTTATGTATGCAGATGGCAGTGCAGTTGGCAGATGATTTGTTGGGGACCAAAGTGACCACATCATCTGTGCTGACATCTGGACAGTATGTCTTCAAAACAAAAACCTCAGAGGAGGACTTTGTCCAAGGACCCACGCACTATGGAGTTAGTCAAGAAACACAAAACCTGAGGTAAAGGGTACATCAACAGATCTTAGTTTCCACTAAAATATGCATGTCATATAGTTAACTTCATTTCCTGGAAAAGACTGGAAACTGATCAAGGGGGTAAGGGCAAAATGGAGAAAGTTAGGTTGAATTTAACCCTTGGTTCCCCTCCCCCTTGGTTGCTGGTTTCACATATTTTCTTGTAAGATGGTGCGAGAATCAAGAAAAAAGAACCAGACTGTTAGGGATGTAAAGAAATAGAAAAAAAAAAGATTACAAAGTGTAAATGAAGCCTTTTTGGTCTCCAATTTACCTTTGAATAATGGATCAAAAGACGTTTCCAGAGCACAGTAATAATATCGGATTGAATTAAGCTAACACTACACATACAACATATAGAAAACTAAGGCTGTAAATTGTTCTTATGAATACATTTCACCCTTCACTGTTTTTAAAAACTACAAAACAACTACGAGGCAAGAAGATGATTTTAATGCTTGCTTTATAAGCTTCACATCTTGAGTGACTTTTGAATCCCATGAGTCAAATCTTACAAACTGTCTGTGACCACACTTAATCTCACATGTCTTCCAAGAAAAATGTCTGTGGTTGAACCAACCATTATGTATGGCCAACATATCATTAAGGTTTACCACCCTTGATCTGTTTGTATGTGAGGCCCCATTGCAGGCATAAATATTGCTGTTCTGCATGTGAAGACACCGACATCTGACATGATCGCAGCCCTCACACATACGTTGGCACATCTCACATCTTCATCAGCGCCATCCGTTCTCGTATGTCAGAGAGTGATAATTCTTCAATACCATTGTTGTCTCATCAACCTGGAATGACACTGACTGCATCACCAAAGCTTCCATCCCCTCTATGTTGCCCTCACTTTACATGTAAGAAGACTTGACCTGTTACTGCCTTAACAAAAGAAGTGAGAGTTCTCCCTCCCTAAATCAGATGCTGACAGTCTTTTAAGGCCATTTTAGAGAAGAATTATGAGGAGGCTGTTACTGCACCATTTTCAAGAGTAATGATCCATTCAGAAACTCAAGCTGAGTTTAATATGAATGTGAGGTGATTACAGTTACCTGAAACAGAGGTTTTGCAACTACTGTAGTTGTGCCTCAAAAGCCATGTTTCTACAACTAGTCATGAATGCCGTGTAATTACCTGTCCATCAAAGTGACCACCAAATGTTTATAACTCACATTGATTTGAGAGGCTGCCACAGATGGATGTGTGGAACAAAAAAGGGAAAAAAAAAAAAAAAAGAAAAAAAAAAAATCAAAAAAAAAAAAAAAAGAAAAAAAAAAAATCAAAAAAAAAAAAAAAAGATAAATAATATCACATAAATAATATCACATATACAATACATATGATGCAACAAATCAAAAGCATTTGTGTAAATAATTTGGGCTTCTGCAGATTTTGCTATTTCAGCTGCTGGGCTGCACTGACACCTCCAAGCCCTTCAGCTCTACTGATGATATGCCCTCATACTAATGCATGATGTCAGCATTGGTGGACTTTTGAGATCAGCTTATGTTAAATTTTAAGTTCTCGTTCAACTTTCCTGACTCTTGGGATGAATGAATTTGGATAATAACTCCATATTTAGTGACCAGGATTTTTTATAAGCGTGATACCCAAAAGCTTCAGTGTCTTAAAGGGAAACTCAAGAATGTCACTGTGATTATGAACCCGAGCAGAGAGAAAAAGGAAGAAGAAACAGTTAAGCTTCTTTCCTCTTTGTTGTTCCCAGTCAGTGCTTTTCTTCCCTGACCTTGCCAGCAACCCAGTGGGGTTGTTGAATTCAGTTTCCTTGAGCCTTTCCACATTTTAAAGGAGGGGAAACATGATCCAATTCAATATCAGTTACATACCCCTTTTCAATAGTTCAGGCAAAAAAATAAAGAGGGAGAAAAAAATGAGGACAGGAATGCTGTTCTTTGGCGTACAACAAGTTTCAGATAAGGCTTTATTCTTTTTGTGACTTCACAGTTGAAATCTCCATTGTCTCCTTGAGCTCTGTGGCGAAGGATGAAAACGTGAAATGACTTTAGTTAGGTTGAGTCTGGCGAGCCAGGTGACTAAAAGTGATAAAGGCACAGCAGTGAATTGTTTCTGCTCCCTCGTGTGCGACACATCAGTGTCTGAGCTTGGCTAAATTGGGAAGCTTTCTGAAATTGATTTTCACTGGTGCAACTCCGTTTTTTTAACTTTTGTGCTCTTTGAAGCATTTACGTCACTAAATTACACCTGGGATAGGATTAATGGGTTTGTTGAAATGTTCTTCCAGATAAATGTGACTTGTGACAATGACTAATGTGGTTGAAGATATGGTCACAGGCTGCGCCTTATGCCTATTTTATTTAACTATTAACTATTTGTGACATTTGTTTTCTTTCAATGTGTACTTTATAATTGTGAGCTGGAGTTCTTCAATTGTGAGTTCTTTACAACCTTATGATCATTTTAGATCAAACGAAGACAAAGCACAAAGAAAACAAAAGTTTAAAATGACACTGTGTGACTGAGAGCTTGACCACCTGATAGGAATCTGACTTGCAGTTTTTGCAACAATTGTGTAAGTATTAAAGAAAGTGTTAATGGAGACACCTATTAGCCATACACACTTACACCAATAAAGGCATAAATGGGAGCATGCACTTTATTGTAACTAGAGAGAACTACACTGAGGTAAGCTAGCTAAGATTTACAGAGAGTTTTAAGAAATAATTGCAGGAAAAGGCGATGAAAATCAGGAAGCACTGAAACAACATCTAAGAATAGCTTGAAATATTAGCAATGCAGTGTTTCCCTTTCATAGCTATGGAAACAGACATCAGTCATCAGATCTTGACAGTTACACACTGATTTTCCACGCTTTAATTACACTTGAGATTAGACCTACTGTAACCCAAGGCAATTGTTAGGTTTAAATATTTAAAGTAATTTTTAAAATGTCCTCATATTCTTATGCAAAAGACTAACAACTCAAAACTGTTTTGTTCTTATTATTTATTAACAATCAGTACTACATACAGACTCCCTGCTGCTTTAAAGGATGACAGTTGGTTATAAAGAGCAGTGGACACAGACGAGCCTTGACACATTTCACTGATCCAAAAGAAAGTCATAAAATATTCAGGACGGGGAATTGATGGTCCAACCACAGCAGATCACATAAAGTGTTGAGAGTGATTAAATTATGCAGCGTCAGTGTTTGACTGCTGAGTCAAAATTTATGCACCTACACATGTGGAAAACACCAAAACCGATTTGTAAGAATCTACAAAAAATATATTGTTTAATATCATGCATGGCTGGCACAAAGTCTTTAATCTCCAAAATGTCAATACCAATAAATCAAGCTACCTTTGCAGCAACAGCATGTAAAATGAGGTAGCCCAAAAAAGCAGCTTAAGTGGCAGCTTCTTATCAGAGGCAGGCAGTGTATCTTTTAACAAGTGTTTCTAAAGGTTTCCTGTCAGAACATAGCCCCAATATCCACAGAAACTGATTTAATTAAACAAAGAGAAAGTACATCAGAAGATAAAAAATATAAAAACTCAGTACTTCAGTTTTGCATTTGCATTTTTTTCCAACATAATGCCTACCAAATACCAGAAATATAAAGAAAAATGTGAGATTCAATCGAGCAAAAAATTAAATGTCAGACATGCTAACAGTGTCACTGTTGTCTCTAACTTCTCTTTAATCAACACAAACAGCCGTTGGGTGGCACTTTTCCCACTTTTTATTCCATTAATCCGTAACACACTATATCATTAATATCTGTATGTATAATAAAAAATGACAATATATTTTTTGCTGACCTGATGTGTTCCTGTTCTATGGTGTTCTGCATTCACCAGGATGAACACTGTGTCAGTATCAGCTTTCATGACCACAGCCCATCCACAGAGAAACGAATACCTTTAACAGAGACAATGGGCTCCTTTACAAATCACCGGAGAAAGGAGCACAGAAAGAAAAACCAAAGAGGCCAGTGGAGAGGAAAATAACATCATGATGTTAACTACAGAATTATTCTGCCCTTCACATGGTCGGCTCAAGTCAGCTCATTGGTCAGGACATTATTTTATAGAGAGCAAGCAAATGTGTAAACATGTTAATCAAGCCCTGCAGCCAAACGATTATATAACAATGGCCCTCATCTACCAAGGTGTGTTGTGTTCTAACCACATTTGGAGGCAGTTATAGAAGGAGGACAAAGAGAGAGGGAGATGAAGAGAGAGGGAGAGAAGACAACACACTGTTTTTGGTAAAAATAACTGTAAATGAAGTAATACCAAAGTTGCTACTGTAGTGATTAGCTGTAGGGTTAGGGTTATATGATCCATGTCCACAAATCATGTAACCTCATGTAACAATTGTAACTCAAACTTTAGCTTTGCAGGGGAGTGGTGTTCATTTGAATAAAAAGTGGATGAAATGGTTTTGGATGGTAATTTCAGAAGGCGAATATGGACAATCATTCAGCTGAAAAGGGCAACAGTACATGTCACAATCATTATCTTCTCACTGTACGCTCGTTCATGACATCTTTATGCAGAATATTTAAATGTTTACGATACGATACAATTAGTTATCACAAAGAGCAGTAAGACCCACCAGCACTGCCCTCATTGCATAGAAATGAAGTCATTAAAACAACGAGCAAAGGCACTCGCTGCATTCTCCGTAATATCCTCTGTTACTCAGGTCTATTTATAGCCTGCGTGTCCAAATTGGCCCTTTAAAGTGTGACTCCTTATAATCTTTAGGTGCCATTTATTAATAAACATTCCCAAAATATTTCAAAATTAGGCATACACAAAACTTAAGCAATGGCACAGACTATATCTAAAAGGTAGAGTCATGAATAGATTTCATTAACTACCAGTTTTATCAGCTCCACTCGGTAAAAAATGAAAGATGACAAAGTTAGAAATATTTTTTCCATAGTTCCCTCTCTCTCTTGGTAGGTACTGATGCTCAACCTTCTCTATAGAAGGCTAATTGAGCAACAATGTAAAATTGTTTCATCAGTGTTCAGTCATGAGTTCAAACAGATGGACTTGAACCCTCAGGTGGGGTTGAGAGGAGGATATAAGTTTCTTGTAATGTACTACAAGGTAGGAAGACAATGTTTGGACCCCAGGGACGGTTTACTGACGTAGTTAAAATGGTTTAAGGCGATAACAGGAGGGAAATAATAGGCAGAGATCAAGGTGAATAAATTGCCATGACAACCACAGAGGGAAGCAGCAAAAAACAATACAGTTGTCTCAAAAGTAAGGTTGCTCAGACCTTTGCTGTTATACATTCCAAACTTTTCTGTGTCCTCTTGTACATTTAGATACAAACTTATTTCTATAAGCCTGTTAGCAGATATAAAAATAACCTTTTTGGTTACTCCACCAAAAGAAAAACACAGTTACAGACATGTCTGTTCGGTAGAAGCCTCTGTAAACAAGCGTGTGGTTTGACACACCGTTAAGAGGTACACTGTTGCTCTCCCATGTATGCCAGTCTGCTGCAGAAATATTTCAACTCTATCAGCATTGCATTCCGTCAACAGCTGAGTTCGAGTGAGACGTGCAGCAACAGGACGCCACAAACACTGCCAGAACCACGCATCAGGCGACAAATGCTTTCAGAACTGTATCGTGTTGCAACATGACAGAGTTGAGGCATTTATTTTTTTTATTTTCAGTGCAGATCTGGATTGCTATGAATGTTATTGTGCAAAATGACATAATGAGCTTCCAAATTGCAAATGAAATAGTTTACACTTCTACCCTTGACTCCAATCTGCTATTGCTTTGCTTAAATTTCATTTCATATTGACATATGGACCACAGACTTCCTGTCATAAGGTATCTCAGTGTTTCCAAAGAAAATACAGAAACTCACTGTTAACTTTTAACAAAAATGGACATAAAGCATCAGAATGCTGTTTTTAAACCTTCTCACAAACATGTTTAAAATGCATTCAATATTAATTAAAATGATTATAAAGTACCTGCCTCTGGTTATTTACTTTGACACAACAGTTAAAGAGGGTGTGAAAGCATGGCCTGGAGTTATGATCTCAACACTAACAGCTACCTTTGTGGAAGGAAAGAAAGAGTTGCACAATAATAATACTGTGCACACTGTACATCAAAGGGCTCCAACTGCAGTATCCAGTGCCAGCTCTGACTACAGAATGATAATATTACTTTGACAGTGATGATAATCTTCACTTAAGTCAAAATTTTCCATTTACAAACTAGTCACAGATGCCTGCAGTCTGTTTAGACTGTATTAATATCACTAAAAAGTATATCAGGTTAAAGTCAACTTAATAACCCCTCTGACATCAATCTGAAAGTGCTGGTAATCATCACCACATAAAACAATTATTTAAACAAACAAACATTATTTTTCATACTGCATAATGTGGGCCAATTTCGAGCTCAATAAGAGATCGTAAGGCAAAGTAAAGGTCAAGGACAGAAAACTCAGAGACCCTACCTAATGTACTAAAAGGCAGAGATGAATCATTTATAAGCAAATAATTAAAAAAGACACACAATACAAACAATAGATATGTATTTTTTGTAAAAAACGATTTTCCATTTTGATTGTGGTTTCCAAAAATCCATAAAAAATAAAAATAAATTGTTGAAAATGTGACACAAGTTACAAAAGCCAGAAAGAAAAAAAAAAGATGTTTTCTCTAAGCCAAAAAGAAAGGAGGCTAAAATAACTGTACTGATTAAAACTGTTATTTATGTTTCTGAGCTGTGTAGATTCTGACATATGTCAGTATCCTCACATGGAGGAAAGCATTCACTCCACCCTTTAGAAGTCAAAGCCATGGCATGTAAACACAGCTGAAAAAACATGCAATAGTAGGTGGTGCGATGAACAGGCTCTGGATGAGACTAGAGGAATCAAAGCATGTTAAGATTATATTACATGTCCACTGGCTGTGGAGTTGTCAGTTTGAGCGCTGGTGTTTGTCAGTTTCTACACATGGCTCTTAAACTAATTTTGAATATCTCAAGGAAAGAGGAGTAGTTCTAAACCTGATCAGATTAATCCTTAAAGGTACATTTCAATTACTCGTTCAATTTTCAATGCACCAACAAAACATGAAGACAGATGCCGAACAGCTGAAACCTCAGCCTGCATGAAGAGTGAAACAATAGGTGGTTACACAAACAGCCTTTGAGTAGATCAAGTTGAAAGTCTTTGGTTTGACTCGTGGCCTATAAATCTGAAACAAAATAACCAGGTAACAAGTGAAGAAACTGAATCCATTTTCAAAGGTCAGGGGATTTCCTCTTGACAATACCCTTATACTGCAGACAGTGAACAGCAAATTAAATGGATTTTACCTCATTTGCATATAACTGATTATCTGATTGCACACGCTGGCTTTTAGTTGATACCTTTATTATCATATTTGATTCTGTGGCTAATCTACTTTGGATGTTGTTTCTATAATGTTAGCAGACGTAGTCAGTCAAATGAAATTTAGCTTAATGACATTTGTGTTCACATACAAACACAATTACAAAGTCCAAGAAACTGTACGTTTTTCATTAGAATGATTAATGTTGAGCTGAATTCCCTGTCTTCAGGATTTCCCTAGAAAAACTCCTCCTCTTACATTTCACTGGATTTGTTCCCAACTTGATTAATGTTGATGCATTGAGCATGTTCAAAATCCTACTCACGCTGTAAACTGACTCCAGTCTCTATTCCTACATGATGTAGAGATAATTGCCAGGCCATTAAGAAATTAGGATTAATGTGGGAAACCTCTGTGCCTTCATTATATTCGGTGGATAATGGCAACATTTTGAAAGAGCACGGTGAGACAGAGTGGGTCTACAGAAACAAATGATTTATTTGTGGCATACTGCAAAGTGTTAATAGGCCTGTAAACTGATTGCATTTAGAAGAACAGCTAGAACAGCCAAGTTGTAGTGTCTACATAGTACATTTCAACACTGTCACAGATTTAGAGGAGAGTGGTTGTACTGCATGTGTGGGAAAGATAGGTCAGTATTTTGGCAGCCCTGACTAAGGACTGGATAAGACCCACAGTAGTCCATAAGGAGTGATGACCTCTTCTCATGCAACGCCACATTCCTGCCATATCTCAGTTGAAGCAGGCCTGGGATAGCTAAAGCAGGCAGTGGGGAAGGGATGAGGGTCACAAGATGATGGAATTCTAGGGAAACGACAACCACTCCTTCAAACTGACCGCAAGACCCTAAAGGGTCAGAGGTCAAAATGACATCATTTTATGACTTGACCTGTGTTCCACCAGTGGATGACACCAAACTTACCGAAAACCTAAAAAGGTACTACCAGCAGAACACTGTTATCAATTCCATCAACAACAAACAACACCCAATACACAGATATGTCTCCTGACAATATTTAACATCTGAATTATAGGTGGGCCTGGATGGGCATCTTTGAATGCAAAAAGCCCTCTTGTAAATGCTCATTTCATACACTATCTCCATACATAAACCTAATACCTTTTCATTAAGTGTACTTTCAATTGACGTAGAGTAGGTAGTTGTGATTAAAATTGTATTTGATCATAAAGCCTTTGTTTTAGTGACCAGTGAATTGTTTTTTGGTTCATTCATTAGGTCTGTTATTCCCCTTAGGTTTGTGCTGACTGATGTTGGAGAAGCAGAGCACTGGTCTGGACACAATTTCATATTGATGTTTCAGACGTCTGTGGCTCTCCGAGTGAAATTCACTTTCCCTCCCTGAGGTTCTCTGATGGGAAGTCCAACAGCTGCTGGTTTCCACAGCCCACTTAGTGGAAGCTTCAGGGAAAGTCCAGGAGGGATTGAGAAGGAGGGGGAAGGCAAAGAGGAAGAAGGGGAGGGGGACTGCACTGGATTGTAATGGGAATACATTTTCCAGACGACTGTTCCATTTATTGATCTTCACTGACCTTGGCTGAAGGACAGGACACGATCTAAGTATCAAACTGTTTTTTTTTCTTCTCTTATGTTACATTTTCTGAAAGTTAGACACTTTCTACAGATTTCACAATTTACTGTGGGAAATAGACAACATGGTCACTTTTGTTAAAGTGGTTGGTATAGAGCTGCTCTGACAATCACAGCAGGGAAACGCAACAATCAATAATTAGAGCAACATAAAGAGCTTTCATGCATCAGCAGTGTGTAATCTTAATAGATCTATACACATACCACTGATCAATATAGACTGACTTTCAGAGTGCTCAGTACCTCCACTGTGTATAAATCACCACACTGTATCAAGGCCACTGGAAGCTAACAAAGACCAGGATATATATATATATATATATAAAAAATTTAACAAAAGAATAAACATCGTATATGAATTGTTTTTGAATCTGTGTGATAAACACTGCATATTAATAGTGAGATTGTGGATCAACCTTGACATAGCACGAGCCGTGAAGGTAACATCACACCAAAAAGCAACAATATTTTAAAGAGATTTTGTTAACATTATTTGGCTTTGACACCAATAAAAGTGTCCAGCTTCCTGCTGTTGATCAAATTGTATTACTGTAGATAATGGCCTCAGACAGCCCTCCCCATTCGCAACCATACTCAATAGGTTCCAGACAGAACACCAAAGGATCATGTGAAAAGCCTGTTTCCTGTTCTGTCGTAAGCACATTTAAGTAAATTACCAAGCTATCAGTGATCAGCATTTAGAAGATAATTATGAAGAAGAAAGAAAAACCAACCTACTTACGTTATCCTTATCTATTTCCCCTCACAAAAAGACTTCCTCCCGATTGTGTGACACGTGTGAATGTCATCATCCCCACTCACTTCTCTGGCCACTGAACCTGTAAAAAAAAGGGACAAAATTGTACTTCATCTGATTGATAAAATAAGCTTCTGTTTTACTGTGGTTGTGTGTTTCACCGCTTTAAAATTGCCACATGTTAAAAAGGTTTTATAAAAATCTTGTGATCTTAAAGTTAGACAGCGAGGCAAGTGATAAGGGGTGTGGAGAGAGAAAACGCTAAATATGTATTGCAAACCTGAAATAATAGTGCAGAGACAACCATGCTAGCATTATATGTTTCTCAAGAACAAAAATATCAAAACTGCACCAAAACACACAAACTATAATAGCTTCTGCAAAGAGATCATTTGAAATACCTTGGTGGTCAGAAAGGATGAGACGGTTTTACTTAGACACTAAACATGATTGTACCCAATCAAAGAAAAAACAACAACACATATTTACTGGGTTTGACATGAACAAGCGACAGTGTTTCCCTCAAATCCATAAGCCATTATATAACATTAATACATATTCATATATAAAAAATGGTCACCGTTGTATCAAACACCAATATTGTGAAAAAAAGAAACGTATTATGGACAAACACTAATGGATGCCAATCACTATTATTCCTTACCTAAAGCATTCAGGCCCACAAAAGGACATACGGCTCACCAATAATAATTTAGACTCGATGCTTATTAAGACAGACACTTTGTCAGAGTCAAGATGATACATACGAAACAAAGCTAGAGAATGAAGAACTCACTGTTGTGCACTTAGAATAGCACTAACCACCAAAGAACTCCATATATTATTACAGACAGAGTCACTGCTATTTAAGGCTAAAGCCAGTGCTCTAGCAATAAAATCTGAAAGAAATTTTGTTGATCGTTTACTCCTTTGCAGCTTTGTTGTGGTGAAGCTGCCAGTGCTTGTACATGGCATGTTTGTTTTGTATTGTTGCCTTGTGGTGTTGTAGTTAATATGTACACCCAAACATTAGTCATGTCTAAATGGCCTTTACAAGCCTAGAGCAAGAACGTTTCCCACTCCAGCTGTGTGCTAAATTCCTGTACTACAAAACCATGTTGTGTTCAACAGTCTCCTCATTTACTGAAGTACAGTACTCAGTACTGAAATATTGCACATTAGTGTCACAGACCGTTTCGCTACGTTCCATCACACTGGTCTCTAACTCTAATGCAGATGTTTAACAGGAAACACATTTGTTTCAGCTTACCTGCCTGACTCTGCAGCTCTCTGTTATCCTGAGTGTTAGACGTCTGAAAGGATAACAATGTGTTGATTGAGTTGAGGCCACAGTCCATACTAACACAGCAGTCTGTTTTCCTGCAGACAAAGATGTCAGCTAATGTTATTGTCAAGTGCTTTTGGAGCATTTTAGCTTCTGGGAAGTCTCAGATGGAGTCAATAAGAATAAACAACTTCTCAATAGACCTGACACCAGCTTTTAAAAATAAGAACAACTTAATTGCATTTGGTCCTTAGATAAAACACTATATTTAGTTACTATGGTAAGATGATGTTTTATTTTACATTCTATTTCCATTTTCTTTACAGCTATCCTACAATGATGAGAAAACTGAGATACACATTAAAGCCAAATTTAACAGTGTGGAAAAAACATAGGAAATACAGTATATCAGAAACAGATACTTGGTTAGAAAATACACACAAGAAGAAATCCAGAGAAAGAATGTCTTCATAAATTTTCATTTATCCATTTTGTTTCATGGTCTATTAAGAAAACGTATTAACACTGGCTTTAATATGGCTTCATGACAAAAACACGCATGTAACAAGGACCACAGACTATAATTTAAATATACATACATAATACATAATTTAAATATACGGTACATACAAAATTATAATTGCCTGTGGTATTAAAGTGGGAAGTACAAGTTTCTTTTACACAGATCCACATCTCTTCTGTCTTCACTATCAGGGTTTCATGGTGAAGACAGAACTACCAATAAATGTACAAATGCTTATAAATGTTGGTATCACATATTTGGGGTTGATTACTCTTCAAAATTTACGATTGAATAATTGGTAAAAGTTGTCCTAAACATTGACACAACTTTCTGGTGACTGCATGAAGCCACGTGTGTAAAGATCCAGAGGCCAGAAAAGGGTCAACAGGCTGATTTCAACGGTCCATGTAGCACGTCTTTAAGCCAAGTCGACCCCATTCCCAAGATGACAACAATTAGGAGTGAACCATGACCTTCACAAGAAACTGGAATGTTAAGCACTCCAGATAAAAAAAACAACACTTCTTTGCCACAAAAAAAAAAAAAAAAAACTTTGGCAGAAACCTTACTCCAGATGCATTTTCTGATGCAATCCTCCTATTTGTCCAGAGTGTGGTTAAGGGTTATTACTGCAGGCTTTATCACCTTACCTTAATCCAACAGAAAAATAAATATGATGCAAAGGACCAACAACATTTGACTCTAGATTTACCAGCCAAAAACAAGCTATTCTGACTCCAGCATTTAAAAAAGGGAACAATGATAGCATAATGATAAGAACCAAATGGGAAACGAGATGTTCTGGTGGTTCATTAATCACAATGTCAACACATTGCATCTTAAAAACAGGACACAAAGGATGTTAATCCAAGAGCTAGTGACTCACACTACATCTAGATAGCATTACATTTGTGTTTAAATATACTTCAGGAAAAAAGAAAATGAGCAGGGACATCTTTTGGACTTAACAGGACATTTATTTGTATTGATTAAATTACTTATCCACATTCCTTTGACCTCTTGAACTTTTCTTCCCTTTCTTATGCAATAACACACATGGTTCATCTCTTGGGCATGTGTCTGGCCATACATCAGACATATCTGAGACAAAGGGGGAAACTCCAAATTGTCCTGGGGAGAGCAGCCAACCGTGACAACGCTCCACGGTGTCTGGTTGTTTATGGTCTTAACTAATTGCTGAATGACAGACTAACCAGATTCTAGAATCTGGGTGGATACAAAAAAAAAACACAACAGTCATGTGAACTCACGATCATGACTGAAGTGATCAGAATCAAGCTTAAACTCCCAAGTCCTTTACTTTTTGTGGGACAATTTTGCATTAACTTTTTATTAACATTTTAGTTCATATAACAAAGTAAAGAATAATTTAAAAGTAGATTCCTTATTTTGTTTTAAATTAATGAGCCACATGTAGTGAAACAGCAGTGGGGTTTGGCAGCACTGCAGCCCTTTGTCTGTATTTTTCTATAGATCATTAATAAATACCTCTTTACAATTACTGCTTTGCAATCAAATTTTAAATGTGTTACAAAAGTGAACAAGGCATTTAAATATATACAGTATGAAATATTGTCAGCACTGGCCTCATTTAATTTGATTCATTTGCTCCAGTCATTATTAACCATTGCACTCAGAGGGCTGTTTAATTAAAGCCTGTTGACCTGATTAAAGCACATCCCCCATTCCATCACAGCTTCACATCAGCAGGTCTAATTCTTAAACACCAAATGTAAAGACAGTAGCAGAGATGTAATTATGGATTAATGAATTCAATTAAAAGTGGACAGTTTGTGGATTCAGGGCAGAGGTTAAAGTTAAAAACAATTCACTGTGTACTATAGAAAGTAGACTCTCTTTCTGTCTCTCTCTCTCTCTTTCTTTCTTTGACTTTAATTCAGGTTATTTTTAACACTCAGCTGAGCATAATCTACAGATCTTCAGCCTTTGGGTATAACATTTATTTAAACACTATTAAATATTTCAGTGAAAATGAGGAGTTAAATAAGAGCTACTGAATGTGAGCTTCTGTGATTCCTTTTTGAGTTGCAGAATTAGCTGGACACCAAACCTTACATAAGTCTGACTAATTAAGATTATTTGGGCATACCATGCAGGTGTGTTGTTTACTAATGTGTTAAGTATGTTTTTTATATAAATAAATAATTTGACAGTGAATGATGTTACACCATTGCAAAGGGGTTTACAGGTTTCCTGAAAAGCTTGCCCTCTATGCCATAGTACAATTTTTAACGTTCTCAAATAAGCAGCGGGACTTGTGTTCGTTAACTATGAGCTTAATTATGGTCTAGTGCCTTTTGGCCTTTGTGATATGCTAAATGCTCTGTGGTTAAAAGCAATTCACTCTGTGTAAGTGACAACAAATTCTTTGACACATCAGATCTGATTATTTATAACACTTAAGCTTAAGCTCATTTCACAAACTTCCTCAGACATTCAGACAGTAATAAAACACAGGGACACATCACAGTCAAACCTTGTTATTTCTCCAAACACTTCCACAGCTTTCTTTCCAACCGCAGAACAACATCGTTTTTCCAACACAGTGAGAAACAAACAAAGAGACATTCCTTTGATCGTTGCTGAGTCTCCATCACGCGTCACCGCTGGAGTCTTACTCAAGCACTTGCCCAGAGGGGGAATGATATGCAGGCATGGTTGAGAGGCTCAAATGCCAGAGTAAACTCATTCGACTTGTACTGTAAGGACCAGATGATATTGCTACCCAACTGCAAAAGAGCTGTGGTCTTGTTGGCCAGAGTCACTCACTGGAGACTTTCTGCACAGCCACTGTTCCTGTCAGTCAAAAGTCTGCTGGATCACTGCCCTCCAAACTCCCCCTCCTCTTTTTCTTTCTGTAGCCCAAAATCCAATGGCATAGTGCCAGTATCTGGGCAGGACACTCACCTGCTATCACAGTCACACACCTAGGACAATCTTGTTTTACAAGCATACGCTGAAGCTCAAACACCAAAGGACTACAATGTCTTATAGTTATACAATGCCATATCATTTCTTTACACCATTCTCAGACAGATGTGTCATACTGGTCTCGTCCAATCCAGACGTCCCGCTGGCAGACCCCGACAGCCTGATATAGCCCGTGCAATAGGTTGGGTGTTGGCTAGGGACTTGGTATTTGTTTTCTTACATTTAGATTTCATCATCTGATCCATACTTGTATAATATCCACTTGCACTGACAAAGGAAAGTCACTGTTACAAAGATACAACATGTATGTAATATTGCTAATGAGATCACAGCCTTGATGGGACTGTGTGCTGGTGTATGTGAGACACAGACTAAACGGGGGGCTCTATAAGTTGTACATGAAACCTGAGATAAGCCTTTCCTCAGCTAGGTGACTCGAAAAAATTGGGTGAGTAGGCAAACTTAATTTAAGCAAAGCAGACCAACAAGATTATTTGTGGAAAACAGTCTTCCTGTGTCAGGCAAGGTCAGGCAGTGGATGTTTGTTTACAAGTGGTATAGTGGTAAATGCTGGGAAGCATTTTACCACAAATATCCGTGTGACAGGTTGACCTATGTTGGCTTTGCCAAACTTAATGTCTGATGATGATTCATCACACTCACATACTTTTCCAACAACCCCCTAAACAGTGAATTTATTACTGCACGGTGGAACAGCTAAGGCTCTTTGTTCTTCATTTGTTTCATTCTGGTGGAGTTTGTGTTAATGCAGACTTTGCATTGGTTATGCAAATCACAAGGTTGCTTGAATGCATTTTGAATTTGCTGTTTTTGTAAAATGAGAGGTATAGTCAACCAAAGACAAGGCAACCATTTATTGGATACATTTATGGATGGACTGCAAATAAAAGCAAAATTGGGCTTTTGCAGGTATGTTCTTGATATCCCTCATTCAGTTTAGCTATCAAATTGATGACATGTTTCTAGTAGAAATTATTTGGTCTCAGCCATTAGTTACAGGGACAACTCAATATGGCAAGTCAATTTTGTAAACTGAGATCAAATTTAGACAGACATATTTATTAAATAGTTTTTTATGAAACCAAAAAAAAGGTCTAACCTGTAAGTACATCTGGTATATGTTCACTTAATTGAGTTTTTAGTAAGAAAAACATCATCATGGAAGTTTGTTGCTCCAGATGATTCCATGAGATAGAACTGTGGCATGAAAGTAACCCGGACCAGGCCTGTAATCTCCAAAACCGGGGACAGCTCAGTTTCACCATGGTAAACAAGTCCAACAGCAGCTAGGTATGTCTGAGAGATTTCAGAACAACACGTAGCAAGCTATTTAAAGAAGCATGGTGAGTCCAGGAGAGTTAGTCAGGTCAAAACGTGGCCAAAAGCAAGTACTCACTCACGACACATTTGAGCAATGCAGAATTGTTTTGCCCTCACCATAGAAACAGCCAATCAGAGAAGACTCGCGCCGACTCTTACAAATACTTGTGACGATAGATCACAGAACCTGCAACAGAGAGGAACCCATCCATATATGGTCATTCATAAAGAACCAGGGTAGTGACACATTAGAGACCA